GGTTTCCAAATTATCTAAAATTTACAGTTTTTTTTTTTTTTTGTTTGTTTTTTGTTTTTCTATCCACGGATGAATTGATTATCTGTTATCAAAGCTGCGCATGCGCAGGGAGGTTGGAACGTCGCCCTCTGACCCCGCCCCCTTGGTCGCGTTGAGAACAGTTGTGATGGTTCTGTCGCTCCTAACTAGTTGTTCATCATCCTGCGGTCCAACCGGACCACTCTCAGCGCTGTGAGGATTCTTCAGAGCTGGTTCCGACCGGTTCGGTTCAAGATAAACGAAGCTGAATTTCGGACTTTTTTTTTTCTTTCGCGCCGACAGTTTGAGAGAAACTTTTAACGGATTTGTGAGGATAAACTGATTTTCTCCGTCCGTTGGAACTTCTGACTGATTTCATTTCTGTTAAATTACCGGTCCGAACCGTCCCCGCGGAGCGACACCGCCCCCGAACATCAGAGCACCACCGCACCGAACCCAAACCAAGCTCCCCGTCTCACCTGAGCGCTCAGGTGTGGATCTGAGGTGCGAACAAACTTAAAGTCCGAGAGATTTAAAGGGAGTCTGGTGAGAGAGTGGCTGTTTAACCAAAACCAGTGTCTTCACATCATCAATCACAGGTAAACATGGACTTTATTTACTTACTGACTTTTTAGTGACTTAATTATTAAATGTCAGAATAATCTGACCATACCTGAAAACAATTTCAGGTGGGAAATTCTTGTCTAAAACTTTTTAAAAACTTTTAAATCACAATTAAAGCAGGGCTATTCAACTGGTGGCCCGCCACTTGGTTCATTCATCTCAAACCCCCGGTTTTCTACTTTAATTACTGTTATTTTAGTTAAATATATATATAATAATAATAATATAAGATAAAATAATTGAAGAGACATGTTTGGTATCTACAGAAACATCAGAATTTTGGCTACAGGCCATTTCTGTGAGTACACAAGACAGTTAAAACTACAAGCAGTTGAAGATAAAACCATGAAAGTGAAAATAAAATTGGTTTAATGTCAAAATTAATATTTATCTTAAATAAGAGGCATAATGTGTTCTTTTGTTTTTGATATTGTTCTATTATCACTACTTTTATAGGGGTATGTATGTTGTATTCATGATTAAATGCAGCAAAATAAATTATTTCAAAGGTAACAGATCTTTGTAATATTTGGTTTATTTACTTTAATTGCTGGATATTTGGCCCCTGGAGCAATTTAGTTGAATAGCCCTGATTTAAAGTAAACAAAATATGTTTAAAATGGTTTAATCATTCCATTGTTGAAAGAACAAATATTTGTACATAGCATAAATACTTTGTGTAAAACATGTTTAAAAGTAGCTAAAAATTAAGTAGCATAAGACTAGCTAAATAGTAAAAAATTACATAAAAGTGGAAAAAGGTTAGCATATATACAGTGTGTGTGTATATGTATATGTATGTTTGTGTGTGTGTGTGTATATATATATATATATATATATATATATATATATATATATATATACATACATACATACATACATACATACATACACACTCACTCACTCACCGGCCACTTTATTAGGTACACCTGTCCAACTGCTCGTTAACACTTAATTTCTAATCAGCCAATCACATGGCGGCAACTCAGTGCATTTAGGCATGTAGACATGGTCAAGACAATCTCCTGCAGTTCAAACCGAGCATCAGTATGGGGAAGAAAGGTGATTTGAGTGCCTTTGAACGTGGCATGGTTGTTGGTGCCAGAAGGGCTGGTCTGAGTATTTCAGAAACTGCTGATCTACTGGGATTTTCACGCACAACCATCTCTAGGGTTTACAGAGAATGGTCCGAAAAAGAAAAAACATCCAGTGAGCGGCAGTCCTGTGGGCGGAAATGCCTTGTTGATGTCAGAGGTCAGAGGAGAATGGGCAGACTGGTTCGAGCTGATAGAAAGGCAACAGTGACTCAAATAACCACCCGTTACAACCAAGGTAGGCAGAAGAGCATCTCTGAACGCACAGTACGTCGAACTTTGAGGCAGATGGGCTTCAGCAGCAGAAGACCACACCGGGTGCCACTCCTTTCAGCTAAGAACAGGAAACTGAGGCTACAATTTGCACAAGCTCATCGAAATTGGACAAGAGAAGATTGTAAAAACGTTGCCTAGTCTGATGAGTCTCGATTTTTGCTGCGACATTCGGATGGTAGGGTCAGAATTTGGCGTCAACAACATGAAAGCATGGATCCATCCTGCCTTGTATCAACGGTTCAGGCTGGTGGTGGTGGTGTCATGGTGTGGGGAATCTTTTCTTGGCACTCTTTGGGCCCCTTGGTACCAATTGAGCATCGTTGCAACGCCACAGCCTACCTGAGTATTGTTGCTGACCATGTCCATCCCTTTATTACCACAATGTACCCAACATCTGATGGCTACTTTCAGCAGGATAATGCGCCATGTCATAAAGCTGGAATCATCTCAGACTGGTTTCTTGAACATGACAATGAGTTCACTGTACTCAAATGGCCTCCACAGTCACCAGATCTCAATCCAATAGAGCATCTTTGGGATGTGGTGGAACGGGAGATTCGCATCATGGATGTGCAGCCGACAAATCTGCGGCAACTGTGTGATGCCATCATGTCAATATGGACCAAAATCTCTGAGGAATGCTTCCAGCACCTTGTTGAATCTATGCCACAAAGAATTGAGGCAGTTCTGAAGGCAAAAGGGGGTCCAACCCGTTACTAGCGTGGTGTACCTAATAAAGTGGCCGGTGAGTGTATATATATGTAGCAAAGCTGTAGTTAAAGTTATAGCAAACATTTAGCTTAAAGTAGGAAAATGGTAGCAAAAGTCTGGCTAAAAGCTAAAATGATCTAATCACCAGTTTAAAGCCAAAAGTAGCTAAATATGAAAAAATAATCCCAGTTTTCTAATTCAGCTTTAGAAAAGAACATCGTGCTGGAAGGAATCAAAGAGATCTGTGTATCTATGGGGGGGATATTTGTAAATAAAAGAAAATAAAATCCCAGCACCCGTATCTGGAATGAGCTGAAGGTTTTAGTAGATAAACAGCTAAAGTAGCCAAACATCTGCAGCTGCTGGATTGAAAGAACCGTTGAAGAATGGATTAAACCCATTGTTGAAACCAACCGGTCATTAACCGACCCGTCCTCTGGCAGAGTTTAAAACCTTCAGAGTATACTGGTTTCCATCACACTGACTTCCTCCTGTTCTGGTTTAAAACAGACGAGCAGAACCTCCACCCCTGAATCTGAATAGACTTGTTCTTTAATCACACACTTTGGTTCAGAAGAATTTCCCAACTTTTCCCAGAATGTGCTGCTGATGGTTGTTTCACGTCTGAGGGGTGTGTTTATTTGGGGATGGTGCCCCGAGGCTCCTCTTCCTCCTCCTCCCTGAATCTTCTCTCAGGTCCTCCCATCCTCCTGCAGAACCTCATGTTTACGCTCTGCTCCACAGCTCTGAGCTGCCAAATCACCCTCCTCCTCTCCACTCTTCTTATCAGACGATGCTTTCTTTTCTACGTCTTTGCACTCTGCCCCGTGAGGAAATCCATTTCTTCATGTTGTAGTCGAGGCGTTTCCCAATCCTTCAGTCTGCATGTCTCAGACGTCAACATCTACTATCAGTTAGCATGTGAGCAGAGCAGTTAATGCTAACGCTAACCCTTCAAACTGGTTTAAGCTCCTGAAACACAGACGCAAACTGGTGGCGAGGGAAGCCAGAACATTTAGACAAATGCTACGTCGGCTATGTTAAAGTGCAATTATCATCTATATTAATTTTCATGGTAATCATTAGTGGCTAAAAGCTAAAATCTATCAGGCAAATATAGCCCAACCCTAGTCTGAATGGATCAGTTCTGCCCCAGAATCCTCCAGACTTTAATAGTCTTGTGTTGTTAGGATGACATCTAATTCTAATGACAATTAGAATTAGAGCTTGTTTTGCTATTTTTAGCTTTTGCTGCGACTTTAAAATTCAGTCTGGTACAGAAAATACAAAATATTTTTAAATAGTTTGGTTGTTGTGACTTCCTGCTGATGTCTGAGCCTGATCAGCTGGTTGTGTGTGTGTGTGTGTGTGTGTGTGTGTGTGTGTGTGTGTGTGTGTGTGTGTGTGTGTGTGTGTGTGTGTGTGTGTGTGTGTGTGTGTGTGTGTGTGTGTGTGTGTGTGTGTGTGTGGTTCTGTCAGAGTGTGTGGCTGTTATCAGAGCTCAGATCAGCTGTTTGTTTGTGTTAAAACAGACACAAACCAAGATAATGAGTGATGGTGTGATGGAAACAAGCAGGAGCAGAGTTCTGCTCTCTGGACCCGACACAAAGACTCATTCAAAGATCTGAATGCCACAAACCACACACACACACACGTTCGCCCAGCTATATATTTGGGGACATTCCATTGACTTCCATTACATTTCTACAGCCTAACCCTGACCACAAACCCTAAAACTAACCTCACACATGACCCTAAAACGAACCTAAACTCAATTCACACCTTGGTCCTAAACCCAACCCCCAACCCACGGATGGTATTTAAACCAAACGGGGACTCGACTTTTGTCCCCAAATGCACCAGTTGTCCCCAAATGTAGGATTTTTGACTTGAATTGCCCCCAAATGTCACCAAAGCCGAACCCACACACACACACAGACAAGTCTGTTTTTCTATCCGTATTAGAACCATTCATTAACTTTCATTCATTTCCAGTAATTTCTACAGCCTGACCCTGACCATTTACCCTAAAACTAACCTAAACTCAATTCACACATTAGTCCTAAACCAAACCTCCAACCCAAAAATGGAGTTCCACCATATTAGGACTGGTCTTTGGTCCCCATTAGGACTATTGGTCTTGACAAGGTAGGTGTTTATACTGGAAACGGTCCTAAAAAGGTAACAAAAACAACAAGTATACACACACAGCAGACTCACATGACTGCTGTGACACAACATCTGCTGACGCTTCGACACAATCAGCAGCAGAAGTCAGAGGAGTCAAAGTTGTAATCCAGATTGGACATGTTGGATTATAAAACAAAACATCAGAACCAAATAAATGAGCAGGAAACGTATAAATTCAGGCTTTGATCTAATGTTTATCATTCAAATTCTCTTTGATGTTTGAAGCGTCTCAGCTGATGGATCAATCATTTCTGCAGGTTCCTGTCGTCATGGCGTCCAAAACCAAGTGGGAGGCGCTGAAGGAGCACCTGAACACACGCAGCGACGACCCCGATGCATCACTGGAGGCGAACCTGGAGAACTCCGACCCTGAGCTGTGTATCCGCCTGCTGCAGGTCTGGTGTTGGCTCCGCCCCCTCGGCCTGCAGTCTAATGATCCGACACTAACAGGAAGCTGTGTTCCCTCCAGATTCCCACCGTGGTGAATTACTCGGGTTTGAGGCGACGCCTGGAGAACAGCGACGAGTCCTGGATGGTCCAGTTCCTGGAGCTGCGGGGTCTGGACCTTCTGATGGAGGCCCTGGACCGCCTGTCGGGTCGCGGCTGTGCCCGCATCGCCGACGCCCTTCTGCAGCTGACCTGCGTGGCGTGCGTCCGCGCCGTCATGAACTCCTCGGCAGGACTGCACTTCATCCTGGACAACGAGGGCTACGTCAAAACCCTGACCCAGGGTGGGCTGACCTGGGCAGAACAGAAGCTGAAATCAGCTAATCTAACAGCTAAAATTAACCAAACTGTCACTAAAAGATAACGTTAAAATGGTAGCTAATCCTTAAATTAACAAAACTGTAATTAAATGCTAGAATTAGCTTAATAGTTGAATGAGCTAAACTGTAGCTAAAACCTGAAACAGTTCCAATCAACTGAAATTAACGAGCTAAAAGCTAAAATTAACAAAACAGTTGCTAAACCATAAATTAGTTAATTAATAACCAAAAACTAAAATTAGCTAAATAGTTGAATGAGCAAAAATGTAACTAAAATGTCAAGTTAGTAAACCAGTTCCTAACAGCTGAAATTAACAAGCTCTATTTAACCAAATAGTAGCTAAACTATAAGTTAGAAAAACAATAACTATTTGTTAATTTTAGCTTTTAGCTTGTTAATTTCAGTTGATTGGAACAGTTTCACATTTTATCTACAGTTTAGCTCATTCAACTATTAAGCTAATTCTTGCATTTAATTACAGTTTTGTTAATTTAGGGATTAGCTACCATTTTAACTTTATCTTTTAGCGACAGTTTGGCTAAGTTTAGTTAATGTTTTTCTAACTTATGGTTTAGCTACTATTTTGTTAATTATAGCTTGCTAATTTCAGCTATTAGGAACCGTTTTACTATTATGGCTAAACCATAAATTAGTAGAACAATAACCAAAAACTAAAATTAGCTAAATAGTTGAATGAGCAAAAATGTAACTAAAATGTCAAATTAGTAAAACGGTTCCTAAAAGCTGAAATTAGTAAGCTATAATTAACAAAATAGTAGCTAAGCCATAAGTTAGAAAAACATTAACTAAAATTAGCCGAACTGTTGCTGAAAACTAAAACTAGCAAAGCAAAAACTAAACGGCCGAATGAGCAAAACTGTTGTTAAAAAGTAAAATTAACTAAACCCCTCGTAACAGCTGAAATTACCAAGCTAAAAGCTAAAACTACCAAAGCCACAGCTCAACACTCAAACAGTAGCTAAAAGTACAATTAGCCAAGCTGTTTCTGAAAGGTGAAATGAGCTAGATGACTGCTGAAAGCTAAAATTAGTAACAAAAGTAGCTAAAAGGTCAAATAAAACAGCTTTCTTTGACGTGAATCTTTTCATGATTCTATAAACGTTTCTGTAACGGTGAGACATTTATCGGCTCGTTGTTACGCTCAAATTTTTAAAAACCTGGTTTTTGATCCAGAACTTGTCTGAAAAGAGGAAAGCAGCCGAAGTTGTTGCTTCGGCAGTTTTAAAAATGCAGCTGTGCAACATTCACACAGGTTGTTGGTTTCACTGAGCCGAACTCGTATCTGATGTAGTTTCTTCTCCTCTGAGTCCTGAAGGTTCATGTTTTACGTTCTTCATAGTCAGGTGTTTTTCCTTTGAATGCCCCGCCCTTCCTGCAGGAATCTGTCAGTTGTTTACCTGCTAACATGTCAGAGGTTTGGTCACGTGATTCCAGGTTGTTCCAGATGTGACTCGAGGCCACAGACTGACAGATTCTCTCCTCTCTGTTGAGTCCAACAGTCCGAGCAGTTTGTGTTTTAGTGTTTTGTCTTTTACTCCAGCTGAGGACCTCTGAACTCCCGCAGACACTCCCGCCTTGTTGGAATGCCAAATATGTCCTGTTGTTTAACGCTGAGTTAGCCAACCTGACGGGGCTCGTCGATCACAGATTTTATCAGGGTTCAGGCCAGGTCTTAAAAAGTCTAAAAAAGTCTAAAATTTGAAAATAAAAATTTTAGGCCCAAAAAAGTGTTAAAAACGCCCAGATTTTCATCCAAGGTCTTAAATTTAATAGGCTGGTAAAAACCAGACCCTGTCCTTCACTTTGCCTCATACAAGGGTCTGGACTTGCTGCATAGAGAAGTGATTCTTGCAGGAGGCGTGGCCTCTGCTGAAGCATGTGTGGCTGTGTCCAAAACAGCAGGCTGGGTCCTCAGAAGGCCAAATTCGTCGGCCACATACGTCACAGCGTCGCGACGAAGGACGTCCCAAACCGAAGACTCCTCCGATGCGGCCGACAAATACGTCCTTCCTTTTCCCTGTTTTGAAGGACAGGTCTGATGGATCCTTCRCGGCCCAGCATATCCCATAATGCATTGCGGCCCGACCGGAGATTTTTTTTATGCTAGTAATGGCGGACGAAGCGAGAGAAAAGAATACGTTTTTTTAAAAAAATTTGGCGATAAAATTTTTTTTAAAATTTAGCGGTTGCAATTCTAATACTTTTATCATTTGTATGGATGTGTTTTTAAATATTATTTTTGTCATTAAAAAACGCGAAATAAACATGCACCTACAGCGGGTCAATTAGTTCTTCAAATGTTACCTTTAAGTTAATTTTATTGTTTTGTGATATTAATAATGCTAATATATTGATATTTTTCTAATTTTGGTCTATTTTTGCTTCTGTTTAGCATCGTCATGGTTGCTAGGTGACATGACTTACGCCGGGGTGGAGGGGAGGCTAGACCGCTAGACCGTCCAAATTCACAGTCTCTTTTTTTTCCTGGTCTACCAAGGGCCTAGCCCACCTCGACAGGGTAGTCTGGGTCCTCTGGAGGACCCGGCCTGTCGTTTAGGTCACAGCCATTATGTGTCGCTGTGAAGGAGGCTAAGCTAAGAAGCTAACCGGAAATCGCGTGTGCTGTAAACAACCCTACTGAGAGGAGAGAAGTACTGAGCCAAACGAGACGACTGTAAATGAGAGCTGCTGCTTTGTCAGACAAATTTATTTTAATTTGGAAGCCTTATTAACACGGACTGGCTTCATTCACTTCCTCCACTGCCGTGTGCTAAACTAACTAGCAGACACTGCGCAGAAAATCAACGTCATTCAAAACTCCTCCTTCTGTTTGCTGATTGGCCCAGGTAAAATAAACTACAAGCAGACACTGTGCAGAAAATTGACGTTCTGTTCTCTGATTGGCATCTGCCAGCGAAATCCTTGTCTATGGGAGAAGTCCCAGACGGAGCAGTGAAGGGAAACTAGAATTGAGCGGAGCTGCGTATGAAGGCAAGGGCCAGGCTATAAATTAAATTTTGTCAAGTCTTAATTTTTTTCTACTTTTGATCATCCCTGAGAACCGTTGGCTGCATAAATAAATAAAGTTAAGAGTGGTAATCAGAGGTTGACACGATCTGTCTTCATGAAGTGCAAAGTTTGCTACTGGTCATGATTAAACTACAAATCCCATGATAACTGCAGATAAATCTGTCAGTTTATTTCCATGTTTTTGACCTCTTTGACGCTACAACCCCCAACAGCTTATTTACCTGCTCAAAAAACAGAAGTTCAGTCATGTCCACTGCTTGTTGTTTAAACACGGGAAAGTGTGTTTTCAATGAGACTTAATATCAGTGATTATTTTTCACTCTGTTGAAAGTGGTTCACAGCATATGACCATTTCATTCAAATAATTTAGTGTTCTGGTATTAAAATTAAATATTCTTTAATAACTAAATTGATGCAATAAAAGGTTTCTATTATAAAATTTCTGGGACCATGTGAATGTTTCTGTTAATGTGTCGATTTGGTCTTAAATGTCATTACTAATGGTCTTAAAAGGTCTTAAATTGAACTTACTGAAACCTGCATGAACCCTGCTTTGTTATTTGAGACAGTTTTACGTCCAGTTTGACCTCTCCGCTGTCCCGTCCCTGTCCTTGTCCCCCACAGCTCTGGACACGTCCAACGTGATGGTGAAGATGCAGGTGTTCGAGCTGCTGGCGGCGCTCGCGCTCTTCGACCCGCAGGGCCGTCGCCTGACCCTGGCTGCTTTAGAGAACTACAAGGTTCAACACAGAACGCACCAAACGTCTCTAAGTCTCAGCTCGTATCCTTTTTTCATTTAACCGTCCTCGTTTCCTCGTCTCTCACGTTCCTTTTTATTTCCCTCTCTGAAGGTTTTCCTGTTTCCCGCCTCCTCCCTTCCTTTTCTCTAACCTTCCTTCCTGTCATTATTCCCTTCAGGTGTGTTTGTCATAAATAATAATAATTACTTTATTTGGTTTAAATTGATTCAGTGGGAAGAACTAATCTCATCAGCCTGAGCTGAGATATTAGTGCTTTTATTAAATCTGCTAACATTTAGATTCATCGACTGTTAAAGGCTAACAGAGACCTGAGCCACATTTCAGATGTTTGTTTGGTTCTGGAACTGAAGGTCTTTGTGATCATTTCAGATTCAATTCAAATCAGAATATTCAGTTTTCCAGGTGGAGATAATTACACATACCAATAATGTGTTGGGTTATTTGGCTTCAATTGTTAAATGAAGACCTAGCAGAGCGTTATTTCTGTTTTTTATATATGTAATTAAATAACTATTAATGAAAATATGAAACAAGCTTTAACTTTTTTTTGGTGCAGTACCAAAAAATACAAACAGATTGATTATTTGTGTCTAAATGATGACATAGTGTTATATCAGCTGCAGCTTAAATGTGAGTAAATATTAAATCATTTAATGAAAAGTGAATCTGATGGTGCTGCAGGAGAATCCGAGATCAAATTGTTTAAGTATCGGGTCGGATTTATAAAACTTGCGTACGCACAATTTGAGCCCAGAAACTTGCGTACGCCACTTTTTACGCCAAGGTTGTGATTTATAAAATCCAAACTTGACGTGAAAATGTGCGGTGCCTCACAGCTCTGACCCATGCGTACGCTCATTTTGGAGACGTGAAACTGCGACACAGATGGTGAAGTGGGGAATCAGAGCCACACTGTGTAATGATCACTGTCAGATATTTAATTTACCTTCATAATCAGACTTAGATTTTTATTCAACTTTATCATCAGCCTTCTTAACAGTAATATTTATGTTTCTGCTGCTGAGCCATGAGGACCTTTTGAAATAAAAAAACTTAAATCTTAAATAAAAGTTCCCGTATGCAAATCCCTTCATCTGCTTCCTCCTCAGACGACCCTGACCCACAGACCCCTCCCTGACCCACAGACCCCTCCCTGACCCACAGACTCCTCCCTGACCCACAGACTCCTCCCTGACCCACAGACCCCTCCCTGACCCACAGACCCCTCCCCGGCAAGAACAGCAGGACAGCAAAAGTCACGCTTTGGATACACGCAGGGCGCATCCACCTCGCCAGTGTGGATGTTATAAAACTTCACGTTTTTAGTCCGTGTTTGTCATGCACGCGAGTGGGGGATGCGTGCGTGTGTGTGCGCGCCTGCAGCGGATAACCGAGCAGGCAGGAGGGGGAGAGGACGAGGAGAAGAGCAGTGA